TCTGAAGGGAGGGTGTTGAGAGGATGGGGTCCGACTCTTCTCCGTGGTGCCCAGTGACAGGACAAGAGGCAACGGGCACAAACTGAAACACAGGAAGTTCCATCTGAACCTGAGGAAAAACTTATTTCCTGTGAGGGTGACTGAGACCTGGAAGAGGTTGCCCGGAGAGGTAGTGGAGTCTCCTTCCCTGGAGATATTCAAAACCCGTCTGGATGTGATCCTGTGCAATGTGCTCTAGAGGACCCTGCTTGAGCAGGAGGGTTGGACTAGATGATCTCCAGAGGTCCCTTCCAACCTTGGCCATTACGTGATTCTGTGAATCTGTAATATGCAGGACCCACAACTGAAGCCAAGCAGAATCTGTTTTCTATAGCCTTTCACTTCACTTTTGAGCCTTTCACTCAAAAACCCTAAATCTCCAAAATTTTTTAAATAAAATGGTATTTGTATCATTTTTTGTTTTTAACTACTTTTTCTATATGACTTCTACTGTATTTAAATCATTTCCCCTAAAATAACAACATATCTTAATCATATTTCAGTCAATTTAATGAAGCCTATTTATGATTATGTGTAAAAATTTAAATAATTACCATTTACATTTCTGTATATTCCTATCCAAAACCCACTTGTCTTGCTTGTGAATAAGTCTGCATGATCTGCTAAAAAGTTTGATTCAACCAGATCTTCTATGGAAACCAAAGTACCACCTGTAATATATGAGAAAACAAACTAAAGATGACTGGAAGTATCTCTTGCCTTAGAAATCAGTGGTAGTTAAAGATTTTGATACAGGATAAGAGTAATAATCAAACCTCTTTCCGCTCATAGAGAGTGAGCAAGGATTTAGAGACCAGAAAGTGCTCAACTGTGGGGCAATAGCATAAACTGTAAATGATGTCCCATATGACAGAGACATGATTTTCACTGCAGCACAGTGAAGATAATTTCAGAATTTTCCAAACAAGCAAACAGGAAATTATTTTCAAGTGATTGCATAATATTTTTCATAATTATAACTTACTGATGATTATATATTCATTCTTCTTGGATTTGACAGGATATTGTGCAGCATGTTAAAGTCTGCACCGAACAAACATGGGATTCAAAAGGAAGGATTAAGTTTTCTGGCAATGCTGGCAAACTGAAAGGGCTGGGAGGTTCTAATGAGATAAGGAACAAAAGGACCAATTTCTTTAGAGCAGTATAGTGCTTCCCTTTTCTGTTCACTGCCTAGCAAAGCATTGACGAGCTACCTCACAGCTGAGCTGTTAGTGGACCAGGTCCAAGGAGGAGCTCATGGGCTTGGCTGTGGGACCAGAAGCTCGAGAAAGGAGGGAGGCATTTGCCTTCTCTTTGCATTGTAAGTTGCCAGGGAGTCCTGCTAATAGAGTGAGGGCTTTCAGGCAGTACAGGCAACGCCCTATTAGATCACATACCTCATGTGAAAAAAAGCTGATTGTTATTGTGATATTTACCTCTGTTCTTGACACAGAGATATTGAAAAACAGATGAAGCTGGAAAAAGTTAAACCATTTTTTGTGAATTAAGTTGTAGAACAGAACTAGAACAAAACCCAGATGGTTAGGAAAAAACAAGGAAAATTGATCACCTTAGTTTCAACATAAATGAAAAGCAAACCGCATAAATGATGAAAAGTAAATGAGATATTGATTTCTTTCTTAAAATTTGTGTAGATTTTGCAGCATTAGTATTCAGAGCTTTTAAAAAGTGAATTTGTAGGTCAAAACTGAAATCCCGTCTTTATATAATAATTATATGATAACATATATAATAATAATAATTACCTGATTGAATGCATTCAGTCACAGATTGAGCCCAGTTCATTTCATTGACATTGAAGTTATAGCAGTGACTTCGGAAAGGAATCCAAGAGATTTGACCAGGTTCAGGACATTTGCCAATATCCTGTGAAAGGTAATAAGGAACTACATCTAAAAGAAAATGAAATATTATAGATTTTTTTGTCAGTGGGGATTGTAATTCTTCAGATATAAAATTATGTTTAAAAAAATACCTTTCTTAAAAGTACATAAAATAGTCTTCATCACACATTACTAGAATTATCAATTAATATGTCAAGAGTGACAATGAGGAACAGAACTCCTCAGTTACAGCTGAACAGTAAAGCACAAGGCTACGCTCTTCAGTGTTACCAGCTGAATCAAACTTGAACTGTCTCAAGAAAATCTAAGTGCTTAAATTTCTTTTCCAGTATATTTTCTATAACTGACAACTTTGTATAAATTAAAGGTGCAATAAAAGGTAGAAAAGCAAGAGAACACTCAAGATGTTCAAATAAAAATTTTATTTTAAATGACATATCCTCTAAATTGTTACTTACTATGGAATTTCCCTAATTAATATTTTCCTCAAGATAATAACTCTAACAGAAAATGTTGGAATGTTTTTAACTTTGACATCATGTGGAATAATCTGAAGCTCATGAAATATTTGTGTAGTAGCCCCACATTTTCCTGCAAGCAATCATGTTAGAGCATGAAATAGTAACATTGCCAGTTGGCACACGCATTTTTAATCAAAACAAATAGAAGTTGCAAAAGAATCAAGTTCCGAACATGATCTGGAAGAGAAATTAAAGCAAAATTACACATCATCAACTCAAAAGAAACTTAGACTGTCCACAACCTCTGTGTTGCTACAGCCAACAGCAGTTGTTCTTGTACAAATAAGGAAGCAAAAGTTCAGTCCTATCGTAAGGTTTGTCTGCACGCACTAAAACTCATAGTATTCCTCACCGAAGTCCATGCAATCACTATGAAGTATGAACTTCTGTTTGTGCCAAGAGACTTTCTTCCAACACTTTAATACATTGGCCACAGTCACCAGAAACTACTGATCGCGTTAAGAACCACATACAACTATTCCTCCTTTCTCCAGCTGTTACAATCTAATAACATTGAAGCTTTAACCACTGTACGAACACTGCTATTTTGAAGGTGCGGAATTTATTTTATATTCATTGTACCTCACTGATTATAATCCTTCCCACAAAACCCCTATCAGCAAAAAGATTCACATTATAGACTCTAAAGAAGTAAAAAGTGTAGTACTCTCACAGTTTATACGTTCTGTCTATCTGCAACATTGCATTTCTACTGCAGTTATCTCCTGAGTCCCATAAAATTGTGGGATTTCTAATGGCCATGAAAAATTTTCTAAGTCCATGAAAATAAATTGATATTGACACAAAAATAAGAGTATTGGCACTACATATGCAGTCTCACTATTCCTTAATATATATTTATAAATACATATTTTAGTCAAAGCAGATTCAGTGAGATTTCTGCCTTAAAACCTAAAGTGTTAGCACCATCATAGCTTACCATCAGATTTTTTGCAGACAGGAAAATGTTTTTCATTACAAGGTGCTGTTTTCCAGGCTCCATGGAGATTTAGATAGACACAGGCTATTTTCTGTTTTGGTTCACTATAGTCCCAGTTAGAAAAATTGATTTTCCTGTTATCCATCCATCTGTAATACCCATGACTCTAAAATTGAAATAGACTTTTAGTATCATTTTTCTACACTTCCATATTCTGTTTCAAGTAAGAAGATTTATACAAATGCACATTTTCCCACTGATATGTAAAGCTCAGTTCGGACATCTGTGCTAGTACTATCAAAATATTAATCAAATCAGTACTCAGCAACATGAAAGTAATACATAACAGTATGCTTCCCATGCTGTGACAGCCAATGAAGGTTTTTTTGAAGGCCAAGTGATGCTTTCCTGGTGCTGGTGGTGCCCAGTTTCTTATGGGACAGTGTGGTGAGAAGCAATCCCTGTCCTGGAGGAGTAAGGTCACCCCAAAGAACAATGTGACTACAGGGAACATGAGCATTGCAGAGAGCTCCGGTAGAGCAGAGCGGAGGGTGGCTGTCACACAAGGGTTCTAAGCTCAATTACAGTTGAATGTGCATCCATGCTTTTGAAATAGATAAAGGAGGTGAATGCTATCTTCCCGTCCTAGTTTCCTAAGTCTATCCATGCTACAGTTCCACCTTCAGACAGTAATCAAATCGTAACATTTAACCACACCTCACGTCAATGTATTGATCTTACCACATTGCTGTTGAGACCAATCCATAGGGGCTCTCCATGTTGAGCTGCCTGCTGCAGCAGGAAGCAGGAATATATTACTATAATAATCTAAAATGCTGGTGAGCTCCGAAGATTTCTCCTTGCAGGCTTTCCTTGCTTCTTCCCAATTCATTTTAGACGGAATGACTAAATAGCTGCTATTATCGTAATGGATGAACTTGGACTCTGGAGCAGGTGTGGAATGAAATAATTCAGGCTCTGTAGGAAAGAGATAAGGAGGAAAGAAGAGGAAGAGAAAACAGTGATAACTATTAGCTGCCTGAATAGCAGTATTATTTTCGAATAACAGATGAATATAGTGTGGCAACAAAAGCATCAAGTAAAATCATTTCTTATTTCAAACACAAGAGACATGTTTTAAAGATAACTTAGAACTGTTTGTAACTACAGTGTACATAAAGTATTCAGGGAGTAAGGAGAGGCAGAGAATTTGCCGTTTATGCCTATTGATACGAGCTATCACCAGCTGAAAATGATATCAAGACTGGTCACGCAGCAACCCTCCCCCTAGTTGTCTCCAGGTTAGCCTCCCCACAGTGTGGGTGAAATTCCTCCTAAGCAAAAGCACAGTAAAGGTCCTCTGTATGTCACTTCAAGATCACTTCAGCCTCAAATAGGGATGAATTTCATTCTAAGAAAAATTTGTCACTACTCTGCTGCTGCTTCTTTCACATTTAGGACCCACAATTCTGCCTTAAATGGCGTGTACGCAAGTAGAAGACATAAAGATCTAGAGCTGCTGACTGGGGCAGAAAAAAGGACAAAAATTGCTTTCTTGCTCATACAATCTCGAGAACACCCTGGCAACCGTTTTTTCCAGTGACTCCCTCGTGCAGCTTTCAATGCTTGCATGGGACAGAGCCTTGAAACATCTGGCCCAAATGTGTCTTTTTCCTTTATTTCTAGCTGCAGTGCATAATTTGCTGCTCAGCAGTTCCCCTTTTCTCTTCCTGTGGACCCTGCAGGATTACTGTGTTCCGGATGTGTTTCCCACCCTGAGGATATGAGAAGAAAACTAGCACTTTTGTCCTTCTAATTAATGCTGGTCTTGCTATAAAAAGCATTGCCAGAAACCGATGAGGAAAATAACCAATTTAAATCACCTTACCTAACCCCAGCAGGGGAGGATGTGTGGGGGCTTTTTGGTGGCTGGAGAGAGGCTTAGGTATGAGGGGGAGGTTGCAGCTAAGATACCTATGGTGAAGGTTAGTGATGGATTTGTCTTTATGCGTCACATTTACAAAATAACCTAATTCAGATGCCTACCACTGTGCTACTGGCTAAACTTCTTTTGCTGTCAATAGAGAAAAAAGGCACTTTGAAGGCCTCTTCTGACCTGCTTCGGACATTTACCCCAGGTGAGGCAAATCTTGCCTTCAAAGTATCTACTCATTGCGTGCAGGCAGCTGGTTCAAGTGTAGATGTCTGCAACGGAGGAAAATTCAACCTCTGTGAATGCTGATAGGGAAGAGGCCATAAAACAAGAACATTTCTATAGTCCTTATCCCAGAACTGTTTTCATATCTGGATTGAGCTGGGAAAATAGCTGAACTTCCTTAATCTCAGTTGCTAACCCCAGTCAAAATTGAGGACTTCTAAATTCAGAATAATCAGTAAATGTCCTCTAACAAAGAAGGGGGAAAATAGAGCTTACTGCTGTCCATCTGGCAAATATAGCTTTTGTTATGTTGGCAGTCAGTGTTTCCCCAGTAGCCTGCTTCAAGTACAGATCTTTTCATCATTGCAATACAGTCAGTCTAGGGAAAAATTAAAAAGAATATTACAGCTGGTAAAGTGCAAAATGCTTGGCAAAATAATAGAGAGCAGTCTTAGCAGGCCAAAATAATAGTTTTCTCTTTTTTTGAGAGAGAGATCTTTTCAGAGATTTTTTTTTGTTAAGATATTTTTGGCTATTATTTCATTTATCATTTTTTAGAATGGAAAAGTATTACTTTTTATATCTTAAGCAAATGAAATCTGCTTGGCAGAGTAGTGCAAGAACTTTTGTCAGTTTATTAAAATGTCTTACAGTGCACTACAGCTATTTTTACTATATAGTGTATGGTAATCCATATTGAATTGTTGAGCTTTCATTTGGATTCGTGCTGCATAACGAGAGGCAATGAAATAAAGTAAAAACTCATCACATTTAGAAATAATGAATATTTTCTGTAAATTGTAATAATTCTGATAATAATGCTAGTTAATTCCAAGAATAATTATAATAGAGCACTCCTGCAGTTCTAGACTTTGGCAAAAAAAATTAAATATAGATTTTAAACAAACCTATTAATATTTTGGTATAGCTTTAAAAAGTTGATTTCTGCAATATTATTCTGTTGCTTCATACTTTAAAGCCATTGAAATATAAGGATCCTAGCTGCGGCGGAGGTCAGGCTGCTTACACTAAGCTTGAGTATGTCAAATCATGAAATTTTTGCTGTTGTTCTGTTTACCTGTATTGTAATAAACTTCCAGTTAATTTCAATGTAATTATCTCTAAATGGGAATTGTCTTCCCCACTTTGAGTAGTCAAATAAGCTTCCATCTGTCCAAAGGTATGTATTCTCATTGTTAATATCATTCAGTCCAATCCAGGTTTCATCTGAGATATCTTTAAGGAGAAGGGTGAAGAACGCTACCATAAAAAAAAAAAAAAAAAAAAACCAACAGAGAAGGAGTAAATAGCAGAAGAGCTGCCATTCTTCAAATTCAGAATAAAACAAAACCCAAACAAAGTAACCAATCAGCTTTCAAAAATATTGCAAATATCAGTTTAGTATCTTTAGGTTATAGGGTACTGGTAAAAGCAAAAAGAAATAATACAATGTCTACCGAGTCACCTAACTGAAGGAGTTTGGTATCATTAATAATATAAAAGCAGAAGTTTTTAGTAAAATACAGCTATGCACAGACTTCTTGGAAATATAGAATTTAGGGCTAGAGGAGACCTCAAAAGTTCTTGACTGATCTTCCCCAATATAGGATCAACAATACGGAGGTTATTTCTGATCTATTTACTGTGTAAACTGAATTTCTGTGGGCAGGCTAAGCCTGTCACTGTTTATCCTATCTTCCAAGGCCATGGGGTACTGATTATTCTGCTCCTTCCATACTACTCTTTTGCTGAAAATTGAGAAGTGTCAGAATATCAGTTCAGTTTTTTCTTCTCTGCATCAAGCACCTCAAGGTCGTCCTTCACAGGTTATGCTATCTATGTCTGGAGGCTATTTTGCCCTCATCTTTAGGTGGGGCAAAACTGCATTTAGTGAAAACAAAGAATGAGTCCCAGAGGAAAAGGAAAGGTGCGGCAAAAGTCAATAGTTCTCTGGAGAGGTGAAGGGGGGCAAGAGAGGTCGAATAGAGATGCTAATGTTTCTGAGGGCTATGGATAGCAGGTTTCTGCAGCTGCGGCCTTCTCCCTTTCCCTCTGCTGAGACAACCCACGTCTATGCCATGTGTGCCTGGCAGGCAGCGTGAGGCTGGACCAGGCCTCTGGAGGCTCTGCTAGCAGGAAAGTGGCAGGAATAGGTGGACGAGGACCCTACAGACCCTGAACTCTGAGCCCCATGCGCTGACTGCAGCTCCAGTTGAGGTCATTCCAACGCTTAGCAGAGCAGAAGGGCTACTTGATGTGTTACACAGACTGTATGCCCATTTCTAGGTAACTATACAACATTTGTCTACTTTTTTTGGAACAGCATAACAATGCTGAATCATGTTCAGCTGGCAGACCAGCTCCAGATCTTATCTTGGTTACTCCTCATCCTGTTTTTGTGCAGATGATTATTCCTGGTCCGATACAAAACTTTGTGCATAACATTATTCAACTACATCCCTTCCCTTCCTCCAAAAGATTTCTCAGATTTGTCAAAAATATTTCATATTCCAATCCTGGCCTCTATCATGTCCTGTCATTATGTCTTCCACAAATGTAACACATATATTACTGGCTGGCTGGATTGATTAAAAGGATATTGAATATTACTGCAGCCAAGACAGACCTTTTTGTAATCCTAGTCCATATATCCTTTCCATGGATAACTATTAGTGACCAATGATAGCATGGTTCTGTAGATATGCCTGACGTTGGAAAAGGAGGAATAGAAGAAGAAAAGTGACAGTGCGGAAATAAGTTTATCTTGCAATGTGGTTCCATGAGTATTCGTCTTTACAGTCACTGCCTTGATCGATTCTACAATGATTTCCCCAGGATGGTCTATGCACTGTCTTCAGCACATATGGTAGCCGGATGCTGAGATCTAGCACAAAGGAGGTAGCTGAACTCTTAGCTGAACTAAATAGCTGAACTATTTATTTTCAGAAAAATTTTGATGTATTCCTGTATCTAAACTGTGAATCACAGAAAGGAATATACTTGGTAGCAGCAGCCACAGTTACAATTTTAAATAATAATTACTATCTTTTTGGTGAAATTAGCTGGCTTCTTACCTGGCACCAAAAAGTTTGGATGTCATACCTTGCACTTGTTCATTGTGTATAGAGGCCAAGTTTCCCCCTAATTCTATACAAGTGCTTCTTGCAGCGTGCCAAGTCAGTCTTTCTTCTTCGCTATACCCAAATATCTTATAACACTGTGAGGAGAGTAAAAGATTAGACAACATTTCAGGTGTTAAAGAGAATTCAAGCCACTGGATTTTGTTAGGTCAGTTCCAGTCCCTGTATGCAAAGAGCAGGAGATGAGGTAACTCCTGAAATGCCAGTACTCTCGGCCAGCCAGAAGGAGAGACAGCAAATCACAGCACTCATGTACGCCACTTGAAAACACGTGGGCTATCCACAGTTAGTGTTGGGAAAGAGCTGGTAGCTTCCAAAAGCTACTGATGAATTAAACAGATTTCTGAGATGTATAGATAGAAATTTTGGGTCACATAGATGAAAGAGAATTTTTGAGGGACTGTAACTGTTTCCAGATTGGGAACAAAACTTTGGGCACATTTTTAGCATGCACTTAATCTTTATGTTCTGAAGAATCTGTGTTCTGATGGAGGCAATTGCACTTAAACATTTCATTCATATCTAAAGACACATGGTGTGCTTCCTTATAAAACATTAGTTTTTCATTTTCATTTTTGATTTTAGTTAAAATAAGTCAGCTAGACTCAAAAGACAGAAGTGTTCATGCTGTCATGAACGTATTATAATTAGGTATACAAACAGAAAGTCTGTCAGATACAAGCTGAGGATTTTGTTATTTGTAGTTGGGATGTGAAGCAGTGAAACTGTTATGTAGCGCACTTTTGGTATTCCTGCCATAGCAGGTCAAATTCTCTAATGTCAAATTTTTTCAATTATATGCCAGAGACTTAGTGTTAAAATCTGAGTTTGAGTAAGCATTCAGAATGAATAGAACAGTATTGAGAAAAATTGCTCTTTTGCATGAGATATTAGCATCCTGTGTCTTTTCTTTCTGAATAGTGCTGTAAAAATTGTCTCTATAGTTGTGTTAAGTTCTGAGGGACTGGAGACACGTATTTTTAACTGGCATATGCTGCTTATCCCTTTTTTTGCCTTGTAAAGAATAAAAACTTTCCGTTCCCATTGCATCATGGGGTTGTTCTCTGATTTTCATTTGTTTTTTTTGAAGTTCCTGGGGCCACAGGTACTTCTGCTTAACTTAGCAAAAAAAAAAAAAGTTTGTTTTTCCACATTTACTTTGACATTTATTGCTATTTGTGTTACTCAACACAAGGTGAATTGTTATGATACCTGATTATGTATGAAAAGTATGACCTTTCATTTTTTTCTACTCAGCGTTACTCAGAAAAGGGAGGTTATGCTCACAGATCAGTGAATGCAGTTAATATGTCTAAAATGCAATAAATATGTCTATGCAGTAAATATGCCCAAAATATAAAGAAAATTCTAGAAAATGACAAAGAAACTGTGGCTATAGGCATGCTGCAACTCACAGAAACTACGATAATTTGAAATACTCAAGTTCACTTCTTAGCGATTTAAACATAGACTTGACACCATGGAAATAGGGCATGCTGTTAATTAGAATAGCACTTAGTAAATTGGTGCATGAGAGAACTCATGCAGCAATGCAACAGTTGGGGTTTTTCTACATATGGCAGATTCACTAAATACTGTTGAGATTTATTTCTGCACCTTATTATTAAACAAAAGCCAAGTTTCAGGACATCCTCCTGGAAGCGGAAGTTCTGTAGGAGCAAACCCTGAGTAAGTAGAATTGTGCCTTTCGCAGATGAAGGCATTTTTCACAGCACAGCTTATATCTTTCCAAAAGCCTGTAAATAAATGAAATACAGAGAATCACTGTCTAACTGAAACTCTCAAATCACTGTAACAGTGTTGAGCCCCAGCCAGTATTCATAAAGCACAAATGAAACTTTTTGAAGGCAGATAAAACAGTTGCAATGTACACCACTTGCCCAAACTAAGTCTTCCTTCCCTTGCAGGGCATTTGTCTCCTAATGGCATAAGTAGTTTTAAACCACAACATATTTGTATGAAAAGCTCTCACTATTGTTTAACTACCTATTTATGGGGTAGCCTCAAATTTATATATGTAACAAACATTTTAGCTTCTGATGCCATATTCGTCTTAAAATTCTCAACCAAATAGTTCCTGTTGCTTTTTTACTCACCAAAATCTTTTGACATTATTACACAGTTTTCATCATTATTTGCAAAATTAGGCTCATTTGGAGCCCAGGCAACATAGTTCACAGGTGTCTCATCCAGCCAGCTGAAAGAAACAACAGGACAGTGGTTGTTGGACAGATGTCTCTGTCAGCTGTTTAGAGTTACTAGGACCGTTTAGCAAAAGGGCTAAGAAAAGTATCAATAATCACCAGAGAACAAAAGCTCTACATATACTGGAGAAGATGTATCCTTAGTGTTGCTACTGCTTCTCATCTGCCTAGAACTAGCACAGTGAAGTCCCCATCAGTGACCGATTTTGCCAGAGGCTGTATAAACCATGTCATACTCAAAGGAGAGCCTTCCGGTAGTCTGCAAAAGACTGAAACCCTAAGTTCTCACCAGTGCACAGACTTCCCTTTCATCCAGAAAGGTGCCCTCCTGAAAGCCTTCTACAGACAGATTCCTAAAACAGGTTGCCTAGCAGGGATCTCAGAAAGCTGTTGGGTGAGATGTTGCTCGTGCTTCTTGCCTTCAGCTCTCAGAACTTGAACCAGGTGAGTAATCTGACTATATGCTTGTATCTACATTTTATCTAAACATCCTGGGCGCTCTCTGTAGTCATTGGAGATCTAGTCAAGAGAGTTAATCTCATCCTACAGTTGATGTCTATTGTGCATCAGGTGAATAGCATCCTAAAATTATCCATTATCTCACCTCCTATGAAGGGTTGGTTGGGTGGTTAACTCAGGTCTCAGACCGCTGTAAGACACTGAAGTGAGTCTTACACATGAACTTCTGTTGTCTTTGTTCTCTCAGATTTGGAAGGAAAACACATTACTTTGTTTAAACATAGAAAAACTTAGTACTTCTGATCTGAGACTTTTCCTGAAATCTGTCCAGAGGTCACTTGCACAACAGCTTTTAACTTGCAAAATGAAAGCATAAATAAATGCTCCAAAAGAGCAGGATAAAATTACCATCATTTGTTGTCCATTACCAGTTTTAATGTTTTTCTTCTACTTACCGGAATTTCTGATCAAAGCTGACAACTAAGCCAATGAAATATTTCTTCTCGCCTTTCATGTAAATCTAAAAAAACAGAGATTACATTAAAAAAAATGATTCCTCAATATCAAGCAAAAACACTAGGAAGGCTGTTAGCCATGTCTGTGATGCTTTTTCTACAGGATTTGAGCCTCAGGCAAGAACATTATAGGTTTAGACTCAGGTTGTAAGTAGGAAAACTGAGATACTGGGAACATCCTGGAGAGCAGAATGCGCTGGAGAGGACAGAAATATTGTCTGACTGACTGTGCTGAAGTCTTCAAATCGGAGAAGAGAGAACCAGGCCCTCAACTGGCCTTTGTTACATCTTTAGCATTTGCATTTTTCCTCCACCTGCAAAAAGTAATTTCTTTAGAAGTTCCAAACAAATATATCACTGTATAAATAAATAAAGTAGGACAGGAGCTCAGGACTATAGTCTAACTAAACACTGTTCCCTTTATTTTATCAGCTGCTCTGCCTGAGAATTCAGAAGCATCTCATTAGCATCAGTGGCTGCTGATCTCAACCACAGGAAGGTTTCAGACAAAGCTCTACTGCCTTTTGGATTGCTGGAGCAGATGAGGTGGAAATCATTGTTTTGTACTAGATGCTGAGAAGAAATCTTAGGCACAAACACAAAAGCAACGCATTAATCTAACTTATCAAACAGTGAACAGATGCAAAACAGAGTGGAATTCTTCATGGGTCCAAAAGTGCCTATACTCATTGTGTTGAACTCAGCTGATGATTAATATACTGAGGGCTTACATATTTCCAAAGAAATTTTCTTTCACTTTCATTCTCAATGACAACAAGATCTGCAAAGTTTTTTTTGCAGATTCCTCGGGCTTTTTCCATATGGGCATATTCACTGCTGAAATAGTATTGCTTATCTCCATATATAATCCATCCATCATCAGTGGCTTGATATTCTGAAACAAAGGAGTATATACATTACATACGTAACTAGTCTGTACAAGGTCTGAGAACTATACAGTAACTTTTCCTTTGAAAGATGAAAAAACTTACCGTAGCTGTTGTTTGGCTCAGGTTTTAGTAATGTACCTGTAACATAAAATATCACCATGAGCAATATTCCAAATGCACAAATGCAGCTAGGATTTCCTTTGTGCGGTTGTGAATGCTTCATAAAACAGAGAAAAAAGGAACTAAGGTTTAACTAATGAATTTTTAAGATTTTAGAGGATACATCACAGGACTAAAGTAAAAAATATTTATGATTTAGAAGCAATTATCTGCTGAAAAATGTACATCCTTAAAACTTGCATACCAATCTCCAAAAGCATGGGACTACAATGATTCAGGATATGCAGCCACATGCTTTGCAGATGAAACTTATGTCAGTGTCAAAATGTATTTAATATTCTTACTTAGCAGGCTATTAATAATTTCTTTCATACTCTTGGGACTAGAGCTGGACAACATAATCCATTCAATATATTCGGTTCTCAAGCTTACCCACATAATGGTAAACTGTTCACAAATACTCAAAGCTTAATGCTGACATTTTATTAATATCACACATCATTTCCAGAGTCTAGGCTGATTCCTACCATCTTGATGGCTTGGCTTTTGCTAGGCAAGTTTTTTTTTAAGAGAATCCTGCAGATAGCCAGGTAACACATGGAGAGCCAATAGATACCAAACCCCAGTTATGTGATTACAAGACGGACCAGAAGGAGGAAATTAACCTATTGCTAGTCCCAGAACCAGCTATAGCCCATCAAAAGTAGGGGCTATAGCCTCTCAAAAATAAAAGCTTTCATTCTGTTATTTTGTTCTTTACAAGAACCACTGGTTCTGATATTATCTTTCTCCATTATTTCTGTACTTTGGTGGAGAGTAACACACCATTAAAGAAATGACAGGAACAGGATGAGAGATAAGCAAAAAAATGAAAAAGAACTTAAATTTTTCTATGGGGAGCTTTTCAATATTTTCTCCTTATGCAGTCAGTGAAGAACACAATTAAAGTTATCCAGATATCTTTATGAGGAACTATCATACTTCATTTGTTTGGATTTCATTTTTAACCCCAACTCAGTTATAACATTCCTCATTTTTAACACAAAATTGAATCACTTTTAATTGAACATGTACTCTTATTGTCATTTCAACAAAAATTTGATTTCAGTTTTCAGCATGAATGTTAACTAAGAAACCTTAATAAAATTGTCACAAAATGATAGTTTGAAAAGTTTTTCTTTCCTTTTAATTCTTCAAGAAGTCCAAAGCAGCCAGTTAACCTGAGGTTACAAGTGATTAGCACTGCCAGAGGGTTTGCTGGTGATGCCGGTTTGGCGATTTGTTACCCTATGAAATGAGCAGGAAGTGCCTGCCCTCGTCGGGCTCCTGTTCTAGCTCTGCTTCCATTTACCTTTTAGAATTTGCAGTGGTGGTGACCAACAGTGGAAATTTTATGAAAAATGGTCCTAATACAACTCCTTCTTTTGGGTGTAGCATGTGAAGACTGAGCAACGTTGTGCACAGACCTCCAGGCACATCAGGCCAGATAATGGTGTTACACACCAAAAATGAAGCCATTAACAGCTGAGCATTTGTGATCATCATCTAAACTACACTCAAAATGACAAGGTCTAATTTTTTTTTTTTAAACTTCTGAAAGGTCATCTAGGATCAAGATAAACTGATTAGCGTCTGTATCTTGCAGTTTCTGAACTCCTCCTGAGCAATCTCTTCAAGAGAAGAGCCACATCTCTGCAAAATGACACGCTCAGGATGCCAAAAAGGGTGGCACAGGATGCACTGCTTCAAGCAGATGTCAGTGTTTTGATGACACATCTGTATGACTAATCTACCCACAAAGGAACAGTGATTCTTCCCTTTTGAGCTGGCAATTTTTCAAGGATAACGTAGTGCCTCACTCACTGCTTAAGGATGATTGGTTGTTAGCAGAAGTGCCAAATATTGGATCGCTTCAGTGCTGTTTACCTAACTGATTCACCCTTCCCCTCCCTATCATGACTCCTTCTAGTCTCCTGCATGCATCCAACTTTGCTTCAATTTCAGGTAGCTTTTCAGATACATCATTAGCTATTGCTCCTTGGAGATGCATACAAGAATCCAACTTACAACCAGGAAACAGGGACACAACAGTAGGACCAAGTCAGCAAAACAAGTTATTTTGTTATCAGTAGTCACTTGGGTTCATTAACCACAAAGCCCCCAGTTCTACCTGCTGACAGACCCCCCAGTGCACGTTGCCAGGTCCCTTTGGAAACCCTATGGGGCTTCCTTACAGCTGCCCGCCTGCCCCAGCGCCCCAGCCACGAGGTGCCCCAGGCCTGGCGTTAGGGCCCTGCTACCTCCTGGGATCTGGAGTCATTCAAGGCTACACCAGACTCTCTGTTTTTGATCTCCTTTTCAGAGTTGGTGGTTCCTATAGCAACTGATCGTCTCTTTGGTTCCCATTATTTGTTTCTCAGCAGGCACCAAAGCTTTTTTCTCCTTTGCACAGGGAACTCTTTTCTACTGGCTCTTTGTCTCTCATGGGTAAGCCCAGAGCAGTTGGAAATATATGGAAGATAAAAGGAGAGATATTCTTGCTAATAGGATGAGTATCTTTGCCTTGCAAATTTATTCAGAGCATGGCAGAATGCTATAAAGCCAGAGATAAAGTAATAGGGATATCTTTAACTTCCTGCATCCCTGAGTACAATTAAAATATCTGAATTCATTCTTTTCAATTTGTGTAAATCTACACAATTTGTTTATGAATTTGTCTTTATAACTCAAATTCAATGGGAAAGAAATTGTACCTTTTTTAACTTCACAAATCCAATTAAGTAAATGTTCACAGCTCAAGTCATTCCAGCGCATTTGGGGTGATTTATTAAACATCACACAATGTTCAGTTTCTTCATGGTTGTTGGGTTCATCCTCATTCCAGTTCTCATAAATTACCTGTGTTGGAAAATACATCTCTATTACTACGTGCTTTGAGCTGAGTGGGAGTAATCGAGATTGCCATCGTTACACAGTTTCAGGGTCTCATCATCCCAAGTATCTCATTTGTTGGATCAACAGGAGTTCAGAGGGCTGCGAGAGGGCTGTGGAAGCCATCCTGATCAGTGCACCTTCCCCATCGCTCCCCGATGTGAAAGGTGAAAATATCATTTTATATAGAAAAGTAAGTATCTGGTGGAGGAAAAACTGATGGGTATGTTTATCTCTCTCTGTTACAGAGCTAGCGGCCTGACTTCTCTTGACTGACTCACAGCAGTGCCCCTCTCGGGGGTGCTATGAAGAACGTAAGAGCACGGAGAGCGGAAGATGGGATATGGCATTGTCCCAGGGATGAGATAGAGGCAGAGGCAATTTGGAGCTTCCATTAGAGCACTAAGACATTGCTATCATTTAGCACTGCAGCTATTCAGCTGATGGACAAAGCGCTGCCACGGACCTGGCAAAAGTTTAGAAGGGATTGGAAAAAAGCCCTAAAAAGGTGAAAATCTATGTATTATAAAAGCCAAAAAGGCAATTACTGTCCAACAAATAAGTACTCACAGGAGAACCATCAATCCAGGTAAATCCTTCGTCAGGATTTAAGCGAAACAAACCTATCCAGAAAGCCTGAGTGTTCAGTCCTTTATCTCTAAAAAAAACATACAGTATAGATACATGAGCGTAGAAAGAAAGACCATGATATAAGTGCTGGAATGCATGAAAACATGCTGCTTTCTGTCACATCTGAACGGGGAGGTGGTCCTCCACCCCATTAAAAGTTCATTATAAACCCACAGCCAGGGATACTGCTTGCACCCTTTCTCACTGGCTCACATCTGTGGTCTGTGGTTGGGACTTTTTATATCAAAGACTTGTTATACTGAACATAATTTAAAGGACTGTTAAGTAGTATGGAGCTATTTCGGGCACCCAACTGCACGGCTGCTGCATAGCTCTTAGCTGCAAGCAGGAGTTCATGGAAAGAGGTTTTGGCAAAAGTAAAATATGAATTGAGTGCTATAATATAATTTATCTAAGGAAAAATAGTGACAATTGTTTTTCAGCTGCTTTGATTTCTTTCTTGACACTTCTTACGAAGTATATTTAATATTTCTTGCTATTTATCTCCTCCTATATACGGATCAGATAAAACAGAGACCTGTTTCACTCACCGCCCAGCAGGAAGAGTTCCTTCCCCAGAGACTTAACATACAGACAAAGCCTATTCAGCTTTTAACAATAATAAATAATAGAATAATGAAGAAGGGAGAGATGCCAAAGACTTTCCTATATCACAGTTTTAAAACTATTTGAGAAATTAACCCTGAATTGACCACTATTTGAAACACAGTTGTTGTTTTACATGCCATTGAGATGTCTTCATATTGTATCAACAGGGAGATGACAGACACATTGGAGATGGAAGCACATGGGAGACAGCAGCCACTGGCATTTTGGGATATTGTCTTAAAGAATGCAATCAAAATGTAGTGGTCCACTTTGGGGGGAGAAATGCCATAATTGCTATGTTGTGGGTAGCATATAGTATTTTTGAATGCACCTCTTAAAATATGAATTGCATGGAAAACATACTCAATAATTTGTAATTGGAATATAACAGTTTTTAAAAAGACACAATTAGAGCTGAGCATTTTTAGTGCCTTTCTTTTGGAAGAGGGGCTAACATTTACAAAGTTGATCAAATCTGGAGAACAGCTTTGATAAAACTCTGCAATGAAAAATTTGAAGATGTCAAAAATACTTTGAAATGTTCAAGATTAAATATTTTTTGAAAAATTCATCATTTCAATCTGATATTTCCAGATAACAATTTGTAGTTATAATTTTTACTGTGAATTTTTTGTTCATTTGGCCAGTTCCACACATATTTTGAACAAATTCTTATTTAACATCATATTAACATGAAAAAGAATTGCTGTGCAAGTACTCACGATGCTAATTGCCATATTAGAACTTGATCTTCTCTTGTTTTGACTGTGACCAGATTTCCTCCTATTTCTCTACAGAACTCTTCTGCCTCAAACCAAGACTTCTTTTGGTTTCCCTCCCTAACAAAAAACTAACAAGAGAAGATTTAATAACAAATTACTACAGATAATATGTAAAGCATAACACAGAATAAGATATAATTGTATATGTAATTAAAATCAGCGTCACACTAGCACCCATTTTATATTGAGGCAAAAAAACATTTATCAAGTCCTATAATATCAAGCATTAATAATGTAGATTATATGTGTTTTTTTGTTTGCATCCTCTCTTATAAAATAATAAGGGAAGAGTAGCATGGGAGTCTGGGGAGACCAATAGGTTTCACAATGTACAGAGAATAAAAAAAAATAATTTATAACTTAATTAGAAGTTTGACCACTGAAAGGCTTAAAGAAAAATAAAGTAGCCACGTCTCAGTATCATGCAGTAGAAAGCAGGAACTTTTTGAGAAATAGATGGCAGGGGAAATCAATATGTTAGAATAGAAAAAATAGTATGGACAGAGAAAGCCATTTAGCAAGGTACTGACCCAGCTGAGGAAGAGATTTTTGTCCAGTGGTGCAAGCACAGAAATAGCAATTTGGTAAATGGCTGAAGAAGTAATGTCAGTAACAATAATTACTTGAGCGTGACATGTCAGGGAACTATTGAGACCTTTATAAATACAGGACTGAAAACATCTCTGTCCATCCAACCAGCAGAGTCTTAGGAGACAAAGTGAGAGGATATTTAAGTAAAGATCTGGAATAGCAATGTTTGGTATTTACTTTCTCTTGATTTATTTTGCTTTCACTTACCTTTTTTCCTTTCAAAAGACAGAATTTTTTAGGCTTTTTCAGCTAAATCTAGAGAATACAAACAATTTTTTCTGCTTGCTAAAGGGTCACTAACATCAAACTGAATCTGGAACTAAAATATCACTGAAATATCATGTGCTCCATGAGAAAAGGTTGGCGTAGGGCCAGGTTCCCATACATTTTCTCTTAGAAAACATTGTCCTATGCAAGTGACACTGCCAACTCTTGAGAGACAATACCATGTTCTTCTGAAGTTTCAAACTCCTGGAAGTAAACAAACCAGATGAGAATCTCACCTGGCATTTAAATAAAAAAAAGCATATATCTAGCTCTCTCTTTTCTCATTGTTTTAAGCTTTTTCTTGCTGAGCTTCATTAGAGTTGGTGTGTTTGTCTCATCGTTTTTTGCGCGTAGATACCAATGAGGAAATCATTCGCCAGCAATGACCCAGCGTCCAGGACCAGGAGCCGCTGCGGGCAGGGGAGACCAAGGGACAGGTGGTGGCCAGGGCTTCCTGGTGCCTAGCCACATGCTCACCTTCAGGCATGCATCTGCCCGGGGAGCTGCGTCCCAGCCGGCGGCGCAGGGGGTGGCAGGCTCCCGCCCTGGAGCAACAGGCGCTGGCACTCCTGCAGCCCGCTGTTTGCAAAGAAAATTTGCTGTCTTCTTGCAGCTGACAACATCCCATAATCCCGCGGCAACTCCAGTTCTCATGGCAACACAGCCTTGCTCTCTTCCTTTGTGATATATAAAGAGATGAGTGAAGACAACGCCTGTTTGCTCCCTAAGAAATCAGACTTTTGCTTCCATTCAATTTCAATTATAACCATGAAACGGGAGATGCAGGTTATGCAGACTAAAAACTGTTCTGGATATATAATTATTTTGAATATTTACCACCATAGGCCAGATGTGGGCCAGTAAATCTCACAGACACACCTTTGCCAAAATGGAGATTCACAGCATAGGAATATGAACCTTCCTCATTTTACCGACAGGGAGATCACAAGGCAAAGAGCATTTGATTTTATTTACATTTGTAGCAGATATCCTACCAACTACTTTATGGTTCTCAATATCCAGGTGATTCCGTTTCAGAGAAACAAATATCAAACTTAACAAGCTTGTTTCAAGACAAACTAGTTAGTGTCAAAGCAAGAGTTTTCAGTGAGACACTTTGGTTTTGTTGAAATACAAAACAGCTGGATGTTGTCTGCATCTTTCTCACACATACACATCACAGGTCCAGTATTCTGTCTGCAAGTGTTTTTCTCGATCTGATGAACTGTTGTTAACTGGCATTACAAAGCTGAAAAAAGGAGACTATACATCCTGTTACACCATGCATAGTATTGCCTTCAATCTTGTCCAGTTAAAATGCACTTTTGTACAACTTCGTAGGTGATTGAATTACACATCTGATACTCGGCTTTGACTGCATTTGCTGCACCAGAGCCAAACACAAAGTCTGATGATGTTAGTCACCTACATCTATAAGCACGAAAGAAAGTTCCCTACTCTCATTTGTAACCTACCATGGGACAGAAAGCAGAAACGAACTCAAATTTCATCAGTAGTGTGATCACAGGCAATAGCCCTCTGTGGCACATACCTGGCATGGCTGTATTCCAGTGTGTGAAGAGAGGAGTTTCGCCACCGGTCCACCTGAAAGTCCCTTGGCCTTCTATGTCCAAGAGACCAATCCAGAAATATTTTTCATGCCTCAGCCCAATCAGACTAGTTAGAAAGGCTTGCTCATTTCTGAAGGGGAAAATAATGTTAAAAACCAAAATACTACCCTGCAATGTCAATCTGACTGATGCAAGTGGAGGTATCCCTACCATGCCAGAATGGCTCCAGAGAAACACCTCCTGAATGAAGTTCAGGTAAAACCTCAGCAAGTTTTTAAGTGAGGTCAGAATTTGATGAAGAACAATCTTCTCCTTTCAGCTGAAAGCATCTTCTTTTCTTTCCTCCCTGTTCTGGAAAATACCACAGCTCAACTCCTAGGAGCTTCTGGTGGTAGTCTACTATTTTTCTGGTCCTCGCAAGACTTTCTGCTGTCTCAAACCCACCACCAGTCAGGACTGACAGCTTTGTCACCTCTCACTGCTGAAGGTAGCTGTGCTCCACAGAGGCCACAAGGCCAGACTAAAATACAGGTAGGTTGGATATGACACGGCTCCAGCTGCAGTGGGGCAGGTCACGGGGAAGAATTCCTACACTTGTTCAGCATCTACTTTAGAAGGTGGTTCAGGAAAATATTTTTAATTAAAGCTTTCCCATCATAACGACTCCAGGCCTAACAGCAATCAGTAAATGAATGAAAGTAGAACTAACTACTTTCCAAAACCAACAACAGAAAAACAAACATAAAACAGAGGCTGCTATAATTAGGAACTGGAGGATGAGAGAGAAATGTTTGACTCAAGTGACCTTCCCCAATCTAATGCAGGCTTACCTGAAAAAAATGGAAACTGTTGTAATAGGTTGAGTAAAAAGCCTTAATCATTTAATCTTTTTTTCCTTGCATGGGTCATTTTACTTGACTTACTATACTGAAAACTTTTGAAAAGCCCTAGTAAAACATTTGGACAAGAGTTTAAAAAATGGTCAGGTTTTACCACATTCTCCATCAGAAGCACAGATTTGGAAGTAGAAAAAAGATACTTTTCCCACCTGTTTTCCACTGTAGCTAGATATGCTTTGCTCTGTTCACATGTCTTATTTGCTTCTGAGAACGTTACAAACGCAGAGCCCACCAAATAGCAGTGAAAACTGTGTCTTTTCCAACCCTGTTAAAAAAACAAGGTTCTTAATGTGAAATTGAAAGATTACAGTATAGAAATTAGCTATGCTGTTTTATACATAAATATTTGATGTTGAATTTGTTGCTGTAACTAAGTTTAGGAAAAAGATTAGATGAAGCAGATCTGCCAATAAACAAACAAAAGTTGTTGGTTTTTGTTGCTGCTTACTCCCACGGAAGGCCTTTTTTCATTTAAGGAATGCCATTAAGATATGACTCTCCCTTTTTTATCTGTACATGACTTTTCAAATTAAATTTGATTGTGCTATTTGTTATAGCTTTCCAGTGCCCTATAAGGCTGGGATTTTGCAAACTTCTCGATCCTCCTGTGACCCACTCAGGAGGAAGTTGCAGTTTCAGCCTTCCAGAATTGCAGGGTCTAACACAATGGAAAAGCAAAAATATTTCAGTACTGAAGTGGGTTCGTTCACATATTAGCACAGCTCCCCAAAGCCACCGCAGCCAGCTCTTAAGGGAACGGGTGAGGAGACTTTTAGAACCAAGAGGAATCCAATCAGCGCTTGGTTGTGGGGAGGATAGAATAGGGATATCGCTAAAACAACCTTTTTTCTTTCTTCTGTTAGAGGGGTTTATGACGACCAGTGCAGATGTAATGATCTTCTGATAAGACCATTTTTTTTGCAAAACTTACTAGTTTGGAAAAAAATGACCTGCTGATAGCAATCAAAGGCCAACTAAATAGTCCATTGGTAGAAACATCGTACAGAAAAAAATGGTCCTTTTCTGCTTTGAAAATATTTTCTTTCTTTTATAGCTACTACAATAGTTGCTATAGTTGTATAGTAAAGACTTCAAATAGACAGCAGATCTGAGATAAGAGGTAAAGTGGATTTTGGTAATTCTGCATGTACTGTTTGGCTAAGAGTCTAAACAGAGCAAATTTTAATGAAATTGTTATTCACAAGAGATATGTGCTTTTGTTACAGATGGATCTCCTGGGAATGGAGAGAAAGGAGGTATTCATATATATGTGAATGAATCTTAACTGTATTTTCTTGAGTATTTACAGAGCAAAAATAAAAACTATGCTAATTATACTAGTAACATGCTAGTAGGAAAAGACTGGGTTTCCTCAGGAGTACATTCTTTAGAAGATACAAACAAATAGAAGGACTCTAAAAAAAAGCAAAAACCGGTAAACTCCTTAATTCTTCCCAACATAATTCATGAGAGAGCGTTTACTCTCTGGCAGCCTGGGTCCTTGATCTTCTCTTCCTCAGGGGATTGGGATGAAGGCTTCTTTTTACAGATGTAACCAAGTTTCTTATCACAAATATCACTTGCCCAGTATCCATCCTAGAATAGTATGGAGAAGAAAGGAATGTAAAAAGAGGGACATTCATAAACCTAAGAAAACTTGTATTTTCTTCTGCACTCACTATAAGTACACTGAAATATGTTACCTAGGAAGGCTGTAGGATAATTGCTGGTGATGCGCAAGAAAAGGTAGACACATCTGTCAGGAGTGGTTTAAGATACATTGGATGCTGCTTTGAGATGAATGGATGAAATAAATGACGTCTTAAAGTCTCAGCTACTTGTTATCATAACTATCTGTTTCATGAGAGGGTTTATAAAGATACACCTCATCTGGGAATAATGGAAACATTTACTACAGTATTATTTCACTATGCTTATGGTAAAGAGATCAATGAAACAGTAATAATGCGGGTCTGAGCATATCACAGTAAGTGTGGCTATTTCATCCATCAAGGAGAAGTTTCTGTGAAAATGACTGATTTTTTTAAGAAAGGAAGTATGTAAAAATTACAGTTGAAATAGGGGCTTTTTTTCCAGAAAATCTGGTTTGAGCTCAACTCTACTGATGCCTAATACTGGAAAACATCAATATTATTCTATGTCATAACAGTTCTGCATTTTAAATTTGTTTCTTTTAAAATTCATGACATTGTATGCATGTGTAAATGTGTCTAAAACCCAAACACCTATATACTGCAAGACAACAAAGGTTGTGAATCAATCATTGCTGCAGCCATCAGAATAAAGCTAATGTGAAACTTCTGGATCAGGCTTTTCAGCAGATAAGAAATTCGAAAGATAGCATTTGGGGAATGCTACCTCACTGTTTCTGATCACAGCTGTCCTCTGAAAGTCTCATCTGGTTGATGCCACGCCTACGAGGAAACCTATATTAAGGTGAGATTTAAAGCGGCTCCTAGACAAGTTTGCAACGGAAAGTAACTTCAGCCTGAGGTAGTTATTACTTTGCCATTCTATAAAATGACCACAGCGTTATACCTGCCCCTTCATGACAACACAGTTCTCTAGACCATTTGCGTAGGTGGGCTGTCTACGTTGCCATGTGGTGAACGTCACAGGAGTCCCATCACTCCACTCAAAATAGAAGTGAACCTTGAGATCGTTCAGACCAAGCCATAGCTCTTCTGTTGGCTCTGAAGCACAAAAAGAAACTGTTTTACTTATGGTCTGCTATGCGATACAGTGAGCATTTTCACTTTTGAAACAAACAGGGACTGGCTAGAAGTTGGGATGCGCTATGCAAGAAGATAAGTCTCTGTGTTTTGCCAAAAATATTGGTTCCCTCTAGGATCTGCAGTAAGAGTTGATTTGGCTTGCAGTTTAAAGGCCTCAAATTCCTTCCAGAAGTGCTGAATTTAGTAAATATATGGCTCTTTATGGCTGGTAGACATTTTTGGCAGACTTTTTGAGCATCTGTGACTTAGAACAATGAAATAACTCCTAACACCAAGGCTGGTATAGTCCATGGCTAGGTGTCTCCCTCCTATCAGGTGAGCCAAGCCATGAGGATGTTTGCCAATACATCCCCTTACCTGAGGGACTAAAAGTTAGTGGGAGTTCCTGCTGTGCAATACTTTTTGCCTGTTCTTTACCTAATCTGGTCCCTGCAAGCGCTTAACTCAGTTTCCACTGTTTTCAGTGGGGAAACCACAGAGCTAAAAGTTGAGCAGGAGGTTAAATTTCTTGTTGATTTGGAGCACAATTCTGAGGATATTGAACACAGAATAAAGACACAAAAGATGCAATTATTAGCAATCTTTATGTGTTTCTCTTAGGAATAAAGGGTTTTTTATTTTGCTTTAACACTTTTAATGTTTCAGAATATAGATTATTCCTTGATAAATATAAATATACTTCTATGTACCTACAATAGCAGCAGCATAAAGGAACACCATAAATTAGATCCAGGCTTGGGCTTGTGACATTTCAGAGGAAGCTTTAACATTTACTACCAAGCTCAGCTTTTATGTTACAGATGGGGCAAATAAAAAGCAGTCATATAAATATACTCACTGTAACCAAGCTGTGACACTAGAAAGCTGTGTTCAGCAATATTGTGAACACTTGCCAGATCTCCATCTTGCCTCTTACATGAAGTCAGAGCATCTTTCCATAATTTAGGGTCTCTTTGAATGGCATAACAGTGGCCTGCATATGGCCACCAACCATCAGTGCATTTAATAGGTCTCCATTTCTCTGAAATGAAAGCACAACTGTTTCAGAGCAATTTTATAAAGAGGAAAATAAGGGAGCCTAGAAAGTGGTCTCTTTAGCGTTTTTTACAAAAGTAGGACTACATGAATATATATAAGATAAGGTTAGAAATTCAAATACATTCAAATGAAAATCAAATATGATTGAGACACAGTATGTCAAATATGCAAATAAAATGATAAATCTTTTAAGCAGAGAAGCATTGAAAATTGTCCAAACTGTGTCAGAGATACAATTTTAAACAATGCTCTGTGAGGAAAGAGGGGTCAATGGAGACTTCAGTCCCTACCCTGTTTTCCCCCTGGAGCAGTAAGGTCAGTGTATCACGGTCTCGCATACTGCATAATATTAGGCCCTACCTCCTGTTAAATGTCTGTTATTGAAAACACATAATTTTCAGATACGGCAAATCAAGATGTAATTCTTTGGTAACTGCATGTCAGTAATCAGCGTAAATTAGTGCAATAGTTTTCATATATATTAAGTCAGCAGCTTTTTATTACTTAGATTCCTAAATATATTTAAAAGTTTGGCATAGGTTAGCTTTAAAAATAGAGTCCCACATTTCTTTTTAAGGCTAATACTGGAGTAACATTGCTCTGAAATAATCTCTTTACTGTCTTAATATAACTCGTCTTTTAAAAGTAGCATTTATAACATTCCCAGATGACAGCCGCTAGCAGATCCCTTCTGCATGTGGCATGTTCACAAACACGTTGCTGTGTCAGTTGGGACCTTAGGTTGGGTGGCTCACAGATGAGACGTAGCTGGTGTGAATGCTGCTGCTCCTCCTGCTTTGCTCATATGAATGTGTTGTTTACAGTAATATTAGAGTAACTGTAATTGCTCATTTGGAGCAAGTGAGAAGCATAAAATTACTGCAATACTTTTGCAGAGGTGGTTGTTGGCCCTGGTTGGTGTCACAGAGCAGCTTCTGTCTGTCTTGCTAGAATGAACAGTAGAATAATAAAATTCTCCCATGGACGATTAATATACAGTGAGAGGATGTTTTGTGACAGGCAATATATAAAAGTGTGAGTGTGCATATATATGCATAAATATACATAGATGCATAGCTGTGTTTTTCAAAGATTTTTTTTAACATCTTTGTTGAAAACTGATGTTGCACTATATGCATCCTTTGCAAATTTTACAAATTGCTCTTTCTAAAGTTAAAAAAAAAAGTTTATTTTTATTTGATTAACCTACCCTTGGGTATGCTATTAGACTTTGAACTGGAGTTTCTTTTTTTACAGATGTAGCCCAGTCTCTGATTGCATTCTTGGTTTTCCCATTTAGCATTCTTTTTGGGATTCATCACTCCACAGATTTTCCCAGGGACTGAGAAAGGACTTCCTTTGAATAAGAGAGAAAATAGAATCTCTGCATAAGCATATCAAAAATAGATAACAAGAATTACCAAAAGATCACATTATCAGTGGGTAGATCAACTTATTGTGATTTCTTAAATGCTTGCTATGAAGAGTGCCTTCTCTCATAGGATAACTGCTGTTGTTGCTTTTAAGATGCTGCTTTGAGGTGGAGGGAATATTTAAGTTGAGTGAGATGGATGACCCTCCATTGCTTTTGTTCCAGGACAGTGTTAGGAACTTCCTATTTCTTTTCTTAATAGTCTGGCACACACAGACAGAGCAGCTGAAGCAGACTTTTTCCTGTGTCAAAAACTTGTTAACTTTAAAAACATTCCATTTTAAACAATTGCATCCCTTTAATCTGTGTCAACAATTTCACAGTCATACTTTTCTATAAAACTTTTTTTTTCTCTTTTCTGTTGGATATGAAAGAACCTTTAAGCAGCAGAGGAAACCGCCTGATACAGAATTTTTGAAAACGTATAGCAAACTTGCATTTTTCCTTTACTGCCTTGTAACTTTTCCAAAACGAGACAGTTGAAAATGCTGGTAATGGAATGAAAAAACCAACAAGGAAGCAGGAGAACTAAAAAGCTGTAGATGATAGTGTATTCATTGAACTCCAAAAGAGGAAAAGAAACGTCAGGATGATTTTATTTGCACTGATGCTGAAGTCAAGTGCACAAAATGCAGTGCCGCAAAGGCAGTGCCCCATTCCCTCCCAGCAGAGACCAGGGGCGCTTTAGCTGTGCCACCACTTTTCTGCGCAGACAGGCACTGGAGACGTACGCCAGGGCAGCAGGAGGCAAGATGCTCACCCTCCACAAGTGGAGCTGTCGCTGCTGCGACAGGCGCACCCCTGCTTAGTGGGGCGGCCACGGCCAGCGGCCAGGCTGCTTTGCCCTGGTGCCAGCAAATCCCTGTGCCACCCACAGCCACCAGCCCTGGGGCTGGGCTTCCTCCTCGCTGCACAGTTGCTCTCCCCACAGGAGGAATGCCACAAACCCAGCCCCATCTCTCTGCCTTGAGGTAGCCCGGGGCAATTTTGCATACACTATGGAGGAATTATGAGCTGCTCTGCAAGGCTCTCAATAATATTTAGAATTTTTCCAGAAGACATAGTACCATTATTTTTCTAAATATTTTGCTACTTTTGGAAGATTTGATTTATATGTATACTTTTGGATAATATGTTCTGGAAAAATTCTGATCTCTGATCTCTAGGGTAATATTTCACTCCAAATAATATTCTCCTTTCATAAACAAGCTCTTTGCTTATATGAGGGGGAAAAAAAGAACCTGCTGCGTGCTACAGATGATATCTACAGTGAACTTGGTAGCTTGAAAAGTGAACCTTTAAAAATAAAGGGCTAGATCTTCAGCTATTGTAAATCAGCATGGGCCCCCTGAACTAAAAGTGCCTAGGCTAGTTTTTAATCAGTTGATGTCTTACCAGAATCTGTTCAAACATAAAATAGAATATAAAATAGAGTTAATTCTTACCTGGAGCCCAATTTAAATATCTGAAAGGACTGCCCCCAGCCCATTGCCATCCACTGTTGAAATTCAAAGCGTTCAATCCAATCCAGAAAGCAAAACTGAATTTTTTAATTAGCTCTAGATTAGAAAAGAAAGTCAGTGGTAGCTTACTAGCCTCGTTATTACCAAGGTCATCTAAAACAAAGAATGCCAAAAATAAGGAATTTACATTACTTAGACTAAATCAGTCCAAAAATTTTCCTTCCCAAAATTAATGAAGTACATAGACTAAACATGTAAAGCATGTAAATGAATGAATATAAAGGTGGCAGAGATCTCTTCTGGCTAACGAAAAGGGAAAATTAGCATTTTATTTCACTACTTGAATTGACAGTTTACTTCTCTCACTTTGCCAGCAAGTCCCATTTCATTAAAACATGAAATATAACAAAACTCCCCTACTTTCATTAAGGAATTGTGCTAAAATGCTACTGTAATATATCATGGAATATACTCATCAAAAAAGTTGCAAAGATGCTGCCCTAATTAGCTGCTTCCTGGCCTTTTTCTGTTAGTGTTTTCAAAGCCACCTTCATGGCCACCTTCATCACCGAACTGATATCATGATCCTTGCATCATGAAATGCATTGAAGTTGTTTGGAGCTTATGTATGCGCTGTGCCCATATAAGGACAAAGCTACCCATCATCATATGTTCTCCTAGAAAGATTAATAATCCTTGAAACACAGAGGAAAAAGGTTAATTTGAGGAACAGAGTGCATTGAATGAGAGCCCTCAGCAGGGAAGGCAAGTGGAGGATGCCTTCATCTGGGACGGGCTGCAGAATATGCCCTAGGTCCCACCTGCAGCACACTGGTGGGATGCGGTCGTTTCCCTCCCTGAATAGGTTTGGGACCAGTCCTTCATTAAAAAAAAAAAAAAAATAGCTAAAGGAAGGGCAGTTCAGGGCATCTTATTTTGGTTGCTGCTGACCAACCCGCTGACCACTTGTCTTTCCTCAGTGAGTAGGAAGACAAGGCAGCTAACTGAGTTGTCTAAAGTTTTGTGGTAGGAAAACTCCCCAGCAAATTTTCAGGTGTTTCTCTGTCATTTACCTCCCATATATGTTTGCTCGTGTATCTCTGTGATGCTTAATAGTTCTGCATTTTGCTGCTGACAGCTTTTTCTTGCTTGGTGCCAAGTTAGAGCTGATTCTGAGTTTATCTGATAGAGAACACCAGCTGAAACATCTTCTATCCAAAATCTTTCTGTGTCATCTGTAAGGGGAAGTAAAACAGAACACTGCTATTAGCAGAATGACATTGCACCAACTAAAAATATATCAATTAAGTGATATTTGGTGATGTAAAATTTCTAACTATGCACAGCATTAACTGTATGATATCCTGGGCACCTGGAAAATTGAAATCAGACTAGTAATATTTTTAAAGGTATAATTTTTGAATGTAAAAGCATTATTTTAAATTTCTAAGTTTTTAGGGTGAGTGAATAGTTATCTAAAGTTTACTTTTATCCACTACATGTAGTACTAGGTAAATTAGGTATATATGTTTATTGAAAAAAGAGATTTCTGGTTGAAGTCAGAGGAAGAAAGCAAGCGTGTAGATGAACTATGATGCTGGAGGCTGTTCATACTCACAGGGAACTCCCTGTTAGCTCATCATCAAGAGAAGTAACTTGTCCAAAAACTGCAGAACCTGGCCCTTGACAGCCCAAGGAGCTATAGAAACAGTGTGTATAGCGCTGTGTTCAGGTCAGCTGAAATGTTTGCTTGCAGAACCGCTTCTTAAAACTTGTGAAACTGCAGCCAGTGAGGAAAGTGAAATCATCTGTGTCCCAAGGTTGTGGAATCGCAGACATAGATGTAGCATGGAAGATAGTTCAGAGATCAGAGGGGAAAATAATTTTATCAGCAGTGCTTTTGTGTAGACAAAATAGAAGCCATAGGAGACAAGAACACAATAGGAAATGGATGTTAAAGAAAAATAAACAGTACATAGCAATTTAAGTGTGAATTGACCTACAGGGCAGGCCTGAGGAATAAAGAACAATGGGAATTTTGGGAAAGGAAAGTAGCCTTGATTTGTGCCGTTCATGACATGCGCTTTAGTCAAGTAACTGAGATGTCTAAGAGCCTCTTCACCTCTCTGGTCTGCGAAGAGAAACAGCCACCTCCAATAGGTGAATCACAGCTTGGGTGGACTGAATCACACTCTGGAAGTGTTTATTTTTTCACACACTAAAGAGGGAGCACTCGGGTACTGGGCTTAGTTTTCAATCAGATTATTTTCATTTGGGCTACTCTGACAAGGTTTTTCACGAGGGTGAGCAGCTGATACATCATAATGGATCTGGTGGCTCAACAGATGATTTTCTCAGCAATGTTTCATGATAAGTTAATAAATACAATGCAGGACTTACTTTTTAGTGGGCAAAATCCATACAATTTATCAGCATCAAAGTCTGCAGTTGTTGCACACCAGAGCCAGCCATCTGACCTACCAGCATCTGTGCACTCAGTGAATAGTTTGCCTTCATATTTGAAAGGGAATACACAAGGTTGTCCATTGGCATTTCCTCGTAATGTAAAGGTATCTAGGGAGAAGAAAGACTTAAGAGGACATACGAAAATGATCATAAAAGGATAAATCTAACTTTCTAAAAATAGATCTACCAATCTATCCATCTCTCTCTCTGTCTACCTATCTACTTATCTCTGAATCTGTTTAGCTATCTGAAATTTAGAGGTTGCACCACCTTTTTTTTTAACTGTAATTGTATCATTTCTTTTCCCTTGTGTAGCTAAAGTTATTAAATTGTTGTATTAGTAAGCTTTGAATTTTAAACGCTATGTTTAGAGTTCAGAGAGATGCTCTAAATATTGAAGAATGTATACACCTTTTAGGAAAGTCTAATCCTGACCTGTGGTGACAAATGGCTGATGAAACACAGTTCCTGATGCCAGAGCTCCCACAAGTAGATCTCAGACATAAATGAGTTCACTGCATTGTGGTATTCTGTTTACTTCAATAGGTTCATTCTATCATTCAATTTTTTCATTAACTTTAAAAAAATGATGACTGAAAAGGGTAGCTGAACAGAGAGAATATGGATCAGGTTGTGATAGGTATCACTAGATAGTAAAAATGTTAGTCTTCAATGCACATTTCTCTACTTGTTGAGGTTTGGCAGTCTTGCAGATTTGTACTCAACTCATTCTTCAAGGTTAGCAGTGCTACATCTTTATCAATTTTCACGCATTGCAGGAGAGTCATTTTTTCCTGAAATTTCCAATATCTGCTCTCGATCTCACATTCACGTGAACACACTCATCCATTCAGTTCTACATACATTACTGCTTTACCATTTCTTTCTGTGTATTTATACAAAATGAGTGGTATCTGTCTTCAAAATAGAACTATTCTTCCATTTTGGTCAGATTGGAGGGGAGGAGCCAATTCTTTCTTCTCATACCTCACATCTTGCAGTAGAAAGGGAAGCTTGTACAGCTAACAGCTTCAAAACCTTGAGATTCATAACTGCACCTCTGGTGTGGTGGGGAGGGTAAACGGAGAGAGCTCCATGCTTCTGCTTCTCCCATCACCCTCCCATACAATCCGTTAAGAATCTGATTTAATATCTCCAAAGAAAGAAATTTCCTTGTGAAGATGCTCTTCTTCTTACCTCCTTTTTCCCTGGTAAGCTTATATCTCCTCTCTTTCGTTCTGTGAATCCAGAGCTGCCAGAATAATACCCCACATACTCTCTATATTCTATATCAAATCTTGTATCATATACAGAATAGTCAATCTTTGCATTAAAACTACCAAGCTGCTCAAGGCAAAGCATTTTCATATCTAGTTTAACACAAAACCAACAGCAGGAAACTTACCCAGTGACTGCAATGTACAATGCACAAGGGAAAGAAAAACCAAGAACCTGTAGAGAGTCATTGCAAATGTTACTTTCCTTTCATTCCTTTACCAGACTGTAAGATTTGCCAGGCATAAAATCCTTCTGAGTGAGGATAGTGGCAGGTCCTCCTCTGTATCAGAGGGTTGACAGATAAGGCTCTGTACTCTAAATAAGGAAGTATCCTGTCACATGTGGCATTTGGAAATAAATAGAATGCACATTGCAAACACTACTGACTCTGAAGTGCTAGTCACTTCCAAAACTTACGTCTCCATCCTTTTTACTAGAAGTGATAAGTGGAAGGGTGACACTAATCTTTTCTTGGGACTTAGCTCATACTACACATGGGTTAGTCGTTAGGGTGCTACACAGGCCAAATCTCAAAAAAAAAAAAAAGCAGTTTGAGAGCTGTTGACAAGAAACCTGCAGTGAAATACCAAAGATTAAAAACTCAACCTCTGCTATAATATCTTGGAAAAAGAGGGAGACAAACCACAGTGGTCCAGTACATTGTTTCAGCTTCACAGCTCCACACTAGAAGAAAGAGAGGATATTTTACAGGGTGTGCAGTATTTGGTGCATTATGCATTATCGCGCACTCTGAGGGCTAAAATTGCTTCTATTCTGTGCTATTACATTGCTTCTTTGATCACAGTTTCAGGCTAGGTTGTTTGCCACTACTAGTCAAAGATCTGAAAGTGAAAAAGTTTGATGCTACTGGCGAAGCCCTCCTGTAACAGGAGAAGAGCTGAGCTTTCGCCTAGAATACTTTTGTCAAGCAAAATTATGTCTCTGCCTACCTGAGAAATTCCTAACAAAGGTGTTCAGGGATAAAGCCAAAAGTAAGCTAAATTGGAGAAGGTCCTCTTAATCTGTGACCAAAGTGCTTGCCTGGAGACTTATAATGGGAAGGGATTCTGGTACAACTATCCTGATATAGCTCTATTGGCAAATTTTTCACATACAGACAAATACTACTGTTGCTACTATTTTATTTTTATCAGTGCAAGTAAGTGAAGTTGTGATATGAAATTGAAAGAAGCATGAAGTAAAATGATCAGTTCATGCATAGTGAGATATTATGTACAGAAGCTGAACGGCAGATATCACAGGAGGAAAAACTGTCTCCGCTTCTGTTTACAGGGTTGTAGAGAAAATTATTGAAAGAACAAGCCAAACCCGTTGACTTGGCTGTTAGCAAAGTACTCACAGCAGAAAGAATGTTCAGAAAAAAGTCTGCTTGCCTCTCAACTTTTTTTAATGAGGTGATCAATTTCATTCATTAATTATAGTTAGCTACTATACCATATTTACGTGATCATAATTCCTAAAGGCCTCAGTTAGCTTCAGCTGAGGTTTTACAGTGCTATATCTTGTAAAATTTAAAATTATCCAGAAGTAACTTTAAGAAAAGAAAGAAGAAAAGGCCTTCCTATCAGTTATGCTGATGAAAGCACTATCAGAATTTCATTTTTAGTAAATTTTGAAATACAAAATGTGATACGACTCTAGCTGTAGTAAGCCCATGAATTCATTCTGTGCAACTACTTAAAACAAACTAACAAATTTTTCTCATTCTTTGTGGATGGCTACTCTAATGGAAAAGAAAAGCTGTATCAGGAAGGCATAAAGATATGCAAGAATAACTAGAGCCAGCTGACTGGAGATCTCTCTGCGGGTGACATTCTGGGAGAGCCTCATGTCAGCAAGGCGTGCAAGGTTGGCCCAAAGTGTTAACTAAAGCTGAGTAATGCTAAAACCGGGGATGGGATAGGAGAGGAATAGAAGCGGAGTCTACAGAGTGAAACCGTAGTTCAAATATACCTGAAATCACAGAGTGAAACTGCTCTGGCGAAGGGAATCCCTAGGGCAAATACCTGGAGGACAATTCCTGCCCAGTGGCCTCCTCTGCCTCAGGAAGGGTGCGTGCTACCCACACTCTAGCCCAAACTGAGCTTCAGCTCACCTAGTATAAATGGACATTTGTGAGGCTTCACCTCAGCAGGGTTGCAAAGTGATGGCAAGGGGAAATTAGTGCTGACAGGGGTAACCTGAGAATTCAGGCTGAGGCCTGAGAATTCAGTGTTTCGCAGCTGCCCCTTTCCCACACCCAGAGAGCTTGATGCTGCTTACAGACCTTGTGTGTGCAGTCCGGCACGCTGCATTTCGCTGATGCAGGAGAAAGATCTCACAAGCATGCTAAATTCTTGTTTTCATTTATGCAAAAAAAATCCCTGTGGTCAGGAATCCTTGTGCAGCCTAGACAATGCAGGTTGTATGCTGGGGCTATCGTCTAAACGCTATTCCCCAAAGTGACTGGTGTCTAAATGATATTTGCATCTCACCTAAATTCTAGTTTGTAATGTTTTTCACTCTGTTTTTCTAATATCTTCTGCTGCATTCCTCAGTTTCCAGTTCCTCTTTTTGCATTTAAAAATGGAAAGCTAAATTCAGGGAAGTGGAGAGAGAAACGCTCCTTGTTATTTGCAAACAGACGCTGCACAGACAGGGGTACCCTCCCTTCCACTTTCCACAAATGGCCTTCCAGGTGCGCTGCAGGAACTTTCCTTGGGCACGGCAGTGTTTGGTAGTTTCGCTGCTCCCTTTGGCTGTGGCTTTCTGCTGAGTCGACATGACTAATAAAAAATAGTAACCGTTCTCATGCTTTTGCCTGCAGGTAAGCTTCTGCAGCACACAGCTGAGCCTATATTTAAAGGGTTACCACATTTCTTACACACATTTGTTCTCATTTCCTATCTAATATTGCAACACCTCTCAGAGGGAGTCTTCCCCCACCAGTGCCTAACATGATTAGTGAGGATAGAAGTTTTCTCTATCCTGTACGATTAATTGATGTTCACGACGACAATTGAGACGAGGCTGTCACACGCACATGGGAGGCTGCAAGGCAAGTCCTTTGGGAAAGGAAAATATTGAGACACTGAAGGATGTTACACTTGGGAAAGGAGCCATCTACTTCCAGGGATGTGAAGCTGGATGTCACTCAGTAACTCCTAAAACAGAAAGAACTGTCACTTGATTCACAGGGAATTTTGAGGATGAAAATTGTATTAATAAAACCCTCTATTTATTTGAAAACATTAAAAAGAGGAAGAAAGAATGCATTGTTTAAACTTTTTGCAAGGGTGACAATATTTTACTTCACACGCATTGAACATACTACAAAGTTAATCGTATCATCAGACTGAAAAAAAAGCATACCTGAGCTTAATATCCTTTGCTGGTGTGAACTGCATTTTCCATAGCAGAAAATGAGAATGGCAAGGTTTTATCTGCCCAAGTTATCTGAGATTAGTATACAAAGCCACATTTTTAAAATAAAGGTAGCAGGATACAGCTGTAAAAATCAATAAAACAGGTGGATTGTTGGAGTGAAGCTTGTGGGGCAAAAGGAGTTCAGGATGGTAACAGAGTTAGGTAAATTTTTTTTGAGTTCTTTGCAGCACTCACAAGGATATGGGAATCCAATTTTAAATAGGAATAAGACTTTATTGAGTATTTATTCCCACTAGCAGATTATTATAGGTCTTTTTCACTACATCCATTTATTCTTGACAAATTTACACTAGTATTTTTGCTAAGACATGTAAGAACAACCTGACTGTTACAAAACCATAATGCAAATCAATAATTCTGATTTTGTAAAATGTGATACAAAAGAGGCTACCATTGCAAAAAAAAAAAAAGAAATGAGATTTGATTTAAGATTACAGGAATCCTCACTGGAGACTTAACAGGCATATCCTTTAATTTCAACAAGCAGCTGGTTCCTCTGATTTGATATGTGCCACAGGACCCATTCTCACTGATTCTTCAATCACTGACGCTGCATTTTAGAAGTGTTTCATTGCCACTCTCTCTTGATAGTTGGTTCTGTCTTTTTTTCCTGTAGTAGTAGATTGACATGCCAGCTCCAAGAAGAGTGAGAATGGCCGAGAAAACCAGTAGCCAAACAGATAGATGAACAGATGCATGAGTCTCTTCGCTCTTTTCCTTGTCTGAAAATGAAGGCATATTACTGTAAGAAGCCTTAGTAATTTTTTATTCCACAGAAGACATGAGAAACAAGGTGGAGATGTTCTCTCCAGTTTGGATCTGTCTATGACTTGGTCATTGTTCCGCAGTTGAACTCCATGACTAGTCACCTTCGTTGCAGTGGCGTTGTTTCTGCTTCCAATTAGGTGAAAAATAGAAGTGACTAGGAAATCAAAGTAGGAGCAATATTCTGCTTATATAAAGAGTCACACTGAGCTTTCCTGCCCCTTGGCCAACACTGGCTAAAGAGCATCCTCAGTCCGTACACTGTTCTGTACCCTGTTTGTTCCTACTGCCAGTCTGATATACAGTCCTTTATAAGACACTGAAACAATGAGAGAACAAGAATCTTGCATCATCTTAATAGCTTTCAAAATATTGAGGAGCTTAGATAAGAAAATTTCCCTTGTTCTCCCAGTTTGGTGGCTATCACTGTTCTTGGCCCACTCATAATGCATAGGAAACATGGAAGAAACTTTGCCATATTTCTTGCTGCCTTATTGAAGAAATGGGGCAAATTCCAACTTCAAGTAAGACCTTTGGTCCGTATAGAGAAGATCTGATGAGAGCCACCTTTTTAACAGTCATATTTTAGACATGGACATGGGATGCTAATTATTTGAAAGTGAGTTTTACAATATTTTCATCTCAGATTGTTTACAATAATAACAATGTAATACCTATGGAAAAAAATTGCAGACACCTCCCCATAGATCTATATGGATTTTAACACTGAAGTTAAAGCTCTCTGTGCCTGTTCTTAAAGTCAGTCACAAGTTAGGTCATTGCTGAGCTCATCAGCTCAGGCTTATCCCTGAGGCAACCCAAATATGTGGAAGAGGGAGCACTCAAGCATGTCTAAAATATAGTGTGGGCTTACCCTAATTGATTTATAACCCTGCATCCCAGTAACTGTCAGCAGTGTTTGTTCTCTAAGAGGGAGTGGTTTGGGAAAACTCATCTGAGGTTCTTCTTGTATTTAGATTTTCATTAGTTTTTTCTTACAAAAATTCTTACCTTTCTTATGTGGAGGACTCCCACTTGGCTTGACTTCAGTGAATATTAGAGAAAAATAATATGACATGTCATCAGAATCCATAAAAGTTTGACTATTTCACTAAAATTATGCAGGAACAAAAAAACTCTGAAGGATTACTGTCGCGTTAATTATAAATGAAGCAAAAAACAAAGGCTCTATCTTCCTACTTAATATCATTGAACTATAACATTCATATTGTTTTCATATCAAACAACATTCAAATGCTGAATCTTCCTTATGTTCACTTACAAATACCTTTTCACACTTTTCCCTCAAATATTAATTTACTAAGAATGTGATATACAACACTGGAGATTAATTTCACATGACATTTTCCAGGAAGCTCTGCGTGTCCAGCTGGATTCTGCTGTTATGGTCAACGTAAAAGAGAGACAAACAAAAGACTTTTATAAAATCTTCCGCTGCAAGAGGTGCAAAAAAAGTTTCATGTTCTGAAAAGAGGCATAATTAAAAATACAAGATGTTCTTATTAAGTAAGAAAAAATTACCCTGAATCAGGACTTCCAAAGTTATCAGGAAAATAGTTCTCCTTCTGGTTCTTACACATTACAGTTTGGAGACAATGTAGCTACTCAGATCATAACTTAACAAAACAAAAAGTAAAATGAAAAGAAAAAGAAGAATAGAATGTAAAACAACAGTACAAATCAACAGTAATCCTTACAGAGACAGGAAATAGATATATATTAGAGCATCTGAGATATACAGATATATATTAGAGATGATTCAATTGATGGATTTTAGTGCTTCCTTATTACTTTAGTACTATTTAGGCAAAATATGCAGTTAATATTTATTTTCTGATAATATTTATTTTATTTTTCTTCACAAAACCTAGGAAGCTAACTATTCATGTCATTAATTTGTGGCCATTTATATACAGAACCAACTTACACATAAAAATATATATATTTCAAAACTAAGGGTATAGCTTGTTCCAGTCGCTGTTCTGAGAACTACTATGTCTTGCTACATCTTCAATATTGAAATTGTGTGCTTTCGACTTCTCAGCTGAACATAGTAATTTGAAATTTTATTTTAAGCAGAAAAAGAGGTTTTCAGCACAGAAGACTATAGATATGTTCCCCATGATTCACTGGGACTGACATAACAGACCCTGCAGCATTATATAGCATGCCCATAGCAGAGCAGAATGCAAAAGCTGGAAAATTAAACCTGATCTCATAGCTACCGCAAAGGAAAGTTCACTGCTTTAAGGACGGCAACCTACCATCTTTTAGAAAAGATTCATTCTAGCCCCTAACTGCAGAGAATGGAATGACAATGTTTTCTTTAAGGCAATTATATTTTATGTATCTCCACTTGGGAATATCAAAGAAGTGGCACTACCTGTGTTAGTTACCTCTGCGAAATTAGTCTAACATATTCAGAATTTCATGAAAGTTTCCAGAAATGCTAATGGATCAGGTTCTGTAGTGACTTCCATGAACTTTTTACTTAATAGAGAAATTCTCCTGATATTATCACTGCAACTCAAACAGTCAGCCTTTTGGTTTCCCTGATGCACTACTGGCTTTCAAGGTCTTTGAATTAGGCCCAGTAGGAAGCCAGCTATGGATACTGGGCAGTAATGTAATTTATGAATATTTCAAGCTGTAAAAGGAAGCTTGATTATTCAGACTAATTCCTCCTTGCATGGGTATAATAATTTTAATAACATTTCGTTCCAGGAAAAGTCATAATTTGCACAAGTGTTTGACAGATGGTGACGATGGCCTGTGTTAGCCACTCAAAATTTTTCTGAAAGTTTCATTCTCAGTGAGGTTGCTTACAGCATGCTACCATATTCACATGTGAGTGAAGACAGTGCTACGAGTTGCTCAGAGTCTACAAAAACAGGTAACTACAAATGTTTAGAAAAATAGGTTAAGCCAAACTAAACTGTCAGGAATTTACTTCCAGATATAGTTTATAAAAATATCTTCTAAACTAACCAATATTTGTTACAAAATTTTAGGCATCGCAGCAGAAAGGGGACTAGAGGGACATCGCAGAAACAACTTTTCACAATGAGGGTTGACAAGACTCCGTTAACTTAGAAGATAAATTGAGTCATATGTTGAACAAATCGCAACTGAGGGCTGCAAGAAGCCAAAAGAGAGAAACTGTATTCAGTAGTAACCCATGAGCCAAAATCAGAAATCCTCCAAAATAAGGGGGATATAAAATGATATAAGCCAGCATCTGTTTTAGAGAAGACAAAGCTTGAAAAAAGAACTGAGTAAGAGCATCAGGCGCATGCTCTATTTTTTTTATTTTAGCAAAATACCTATGGCTTTAGCTCAATCTGAGACTCTGGAGTGAATGCAGAGACCATCATGAAGGCCAGTTAAAGATAATCATAAGGCAAGTTATTTCTCATTTCTCTGTGGCTACCTCAAAATATAATTACTGTTTTACTCTTCAAAAGAAAAAGCTCATCTTACTTTTACCTTAAAGTTTGTTTAGTATTTAAAATGACTGCAGGGGTCTCACGATCCCTTTACTCCTCAACTGTTCTCCTCAGACTAAGATTAAGGAGGGTGATTCCCCCTTCTCCAATGTTGGTCCATGAAGAGAGGAGTAAGCTTGAGATTCATGGGTCCCCTTGACATTTGAGTAAATACATAGACATAGAAAATGCTAGAAAAGCACAAATTGGTATATACTTGTCGTAAGACGGGAGTCAGAAAACGGTTTTAAACCATCGGAGCAAAGGTGTCATCATAGGTAGGAGGAGTAGGAACAAAGAGCATAGTATTTTAAGATAGAAATTGGTAAAATGATGAAAAGGATTATACAGGGCAATTGAAGAAGATCAAGACATCCCTTTCAGTCCTGATGATTCCTGTGTGTCCATACATACATGTTGCATTATTCGTGCACATGCTGCATGCTACACAGCGCACATGGTAATGAAAGGGCTATAACATTTTTTAATAAACAGATCTGCTCTGTTACTATTTACAGCACTTACCTTTGGTTTTTTTGCAGATAAATCCTTTTTCAGAAGAGCATTCAGTGTTATCCCAATAACCGGATGGTGCAGTCATTTCAACACAGCGATGCTCCACACTGGACTCTTTCTCTGCCCAGTTGACAAAGTCCATTGCAGCATTGTCTAACCACAACCACTGGTCTAAAGTTAAGAGCAATACATTGAATAATAAATTTTAAAATATATCTCATGGATACTTTAACTCCTTAGCTCAGCAAATGACTTCAAAAGATGTAATAGTAATCCATTTCCTGTAGGAGATCACATTATTTTTCTTGCTAGGAGGTTGTTGATAGGAGGGTGTTTCAGGAAATGCTACAGTATACTGTACAGAATTACTAAAGGCATAGTTGTAGTACAGTAAATGGCATCCAAGAAAGCTATAGAGAGAGTAAGAAATCCCAGAGCACAAGAGATTTTGTTGAAGTTACAACTGAAAAGAAGTTTTTAGCATTTGAGTTCTGGAAAGTATTTAAGTTGCATATGTTGCAGAAGTAATCCCACAGCATGGGATACTGGAAATGCTACTCTGCTAGAATTCAAGCAGCTTTCACTGTGAGTTCAGATTTGTGAAAATAGTTTTCATAAAACCACACTGGATTAATGTAGGAGAAAGAATTTATAACTATGAAAGAAGAATCAGTTAAATTACTTTTTTACAGCTAAATTATTTTAAAAAACCTGCATAATAGTAAAATAAATATTTTTCCCCATATACTCCTTCTAGAAATCTGTTGGAAGTTTATTATTTAATTGTATCCAGATAAAATTTGCTCGGAGATATTTGTTTGCTATTAATCAGGTCATCTGATATTTGTAATATCAGTTACTAATTAACAAGTCCAGGTATCCCTCCATTCAGAGTGTGCATCTGACTGTCTCTAGTTCACCCAAAGCACTATAAATCCTTACCACGTGCCCTGAAGGGTGTATACACATTGAAGAAAAGTTGTGACATAAGTAAATGGAGCACCCCCTATAAGAACGATACTGGGCTAAATGAGCAATTTTCCAGCACAACCCTCTGACAGGAAGTTATGACCACAAAGGCAGGCTCTGTTTGGTGCTTTAAAAAAATGCACACTTATGGCCCATGCTGCTGGAATCCAGGATCTACACAGACACTTGGCCACTGACCACCACTAGAAGGAGATCATAGAGAGCACAACATATGATTACATATATGCCTAAAGAGAAAAAGAGAGAGAGGGAGAACGAGATAGAGGGAGGGATATTTCATAGGTATTTAGGCAGAAGTTAACCAGATTTACGAGAAGACCCTTGAATCATCCACATTTTGATAGCTGGTTCAGTCATCCCAGGAAAGACAGGCCAGTTGCTGTTCAAGGACAGATAAAATCACCATGTCAAGCGACAGTGTTGTTACAGGAAGGTACACACTCACACGTTTTGAGTCTATAAACATATTAGCTTTCTTCATGGAGACAGAGACAGCTTCCAACAATTAGTGTGACAATTTTGCACTCTTAGACTTTATTGGGTTGAATTCGACTCACATTCTGGGTCTGAAATTCTAGCATTTCGAGGTGATAGTGAGAAACTTTATGTGGACCTTGACCAGAGAATTCAGGTCAATCATGAGACTTTGTCTTCTTAAACTACAGTTTTCACGTTAAAAGGATTGGAATAAGCAACATAGCGGAGACATCCTGGGCTAGGCACAACTCTGAATTAGTCTGCCGACTAAAACTTGAAGACTGTGTCAAAGAGACAAAATGTTTCTTTTCCTTCTGAATCATAATGTTATTACTTTGTCCCAAACCATCCAATGAAATTCACTTGGAGACCAGAGCACCTCCATAGTGTTCACTTCATATTATTAGCATAAATTATCTGCCAACTCAGGTGACTTCTAACATAAGGCTTTCGTAATGGATAGCGAAGGCCATCCTATTGCTGTTAAATATCTGTCTACATATATTACTGTTATGCATTAAAATAAAGTAAAAATAGATACTGTCAGTATCTTTCTGTAAAAAGAGATAAAGTTATCCTTAATTTTCTCATATTATGAAAGAATTTTAAAGTAAATGTTGAGGGGAAAACATTACCAGCCACATTTCTGTAAAGTCCTATCCAGAAACCTCCTACTTTGTTTCCAAGTGGTTGTACTGTGTGCATCAGGAAGTCAGATTCATCCACGTTTTCTACTGAAACCAAGGTAGCACCTGAAAAGCATTAGCAAGCAAGTAACAGTATTGTGCATGAGCAACTACTGGAAAGTCTTACCCGTTCAAGTCTTTCAAAACAACTGCTTTTGAAAGTTTTACGTACACTTCTCTGCTCGCTTCACTATCGCTTCTTATGAAGGAAAGCCCTGCAGCAACAGGTGAGGGTGGCTCGCAAACCGCTGCTCCAGCAGCAGGCAGCTCATGTGGAGCCGCTGCTCTTTGTGTGGCCTCAGCCCTTCTCCTCATCCACTCACCCTTCCACCTTCCAGAGGAAGGTGCAGAAAGCCACTCATGTTAGTTTGTTTTCGTTGCGTCTGATTTTAAAATAGCTTTTTAGGTAATTGAAATATTCCTAATGATTTTTTAAATTAATGTTTCTACAGTTTTATATGTACTTAATATAAAACTTCCTTCTTAATCTTGTCAGTCAATAAAAAAGCCTCTCACCTAAGCGGGCACATTCCAGGGAAGCCAGGGCCCAACTAGTCCTAGCGGACGATTCAATGTAGTAGCAGTGGCCGTGGTAAGGAATCCAGGCTTGGAGTTCCTCTGCTTCAGGGCAGTCTCCAGGCAGCTGAGCAGGGTCAGTAGGGGCTATAACTTAGGAAGTGAACATAGTCTTTTTTAATGATTAGCCCATGAGGTAAAATATACATATATACATACATATATGTATATTACATATATGTGTATATTTTACAGGAAAGTAGACAGTATCCTGAAGCATACTCTTCTGAGGGTTTTAGCCCAAGCCATAGCAAAGTCCCTAGGATTTGGTAGACTAACGAAATTAATAATGTGTCATTAAAATGGTTAAATTCATTTGCTTACCATCTGATATTTTACAAACTGAAAAGTGACTTTCATTGCAAGATGCTGTTTTCCAGGTACCATCAAGATCTAGATAGACGCAAGCATTTTTCTCCTTTGGCTCTCCTGCTGCCCATTTAGTGTACCTAGTTTTCCAGTTGTCAGTCCATTTATAATAGCTCCCAGTCTGAAAAGAAATATGTCCTGGTGATAGAGATTGGTACATAAAAAGCATTGATACATAAATGTGCTATAAATGTGAATTTCCTTATGTGAATTTTTCATCCAAAAAGGCTTGTACTGCTCTGTTTTTTTAAACAACATTCACTGTGCTAAGCAATGTCACTGGATGCTGAATATGAGAGTTACGTAAGACCTATGTATGAATAGTGTACAACAGTGCACTACTGGAAGCGAGCGGGTGTTGGAAGAAGCACAGCTTTGTACTGTGCCAGAACACTGCAAGAGCCTCAGACGAGTCTGTCTTGGATCATTTTGCAATTCCTGAATCAAGAGAAGTAGTTACACAGAATTCACCCTCTCTGCTCTGCTTTATTTAGAGTAAGACAGGGAACAGGTTGATGAGTAAAGATTACTTGATATTAAAAACTCAAAATCATCTATAAAATATCTCTTTTATACTCACAATATTTTTATTAATATAATAACACTTATAAGTAGCCATAGATATAGCAGAGTTAAACTTTCAGATCTGCTAACAATTGCAACACGGTAACAGCTGCACATTCTGGCTTGTGACTCCCAGACTGCGCCTTTATTTCTTTTACCATTTCTGTAGCTTTCTGTTTCCACGTATTGCTTCCCAGTATGACCTTTTCTGTCTCTCTTTCCACTCCA